GTACACCATCTGCTGACCATGGTCAAGGGCAGCTGAGGACTGGGGGTCAGGTGACCCCAGAAAGTCCACCCAGTGAGATGATGCAGATGAGGTACGCCATCTGCTGACCATGGTCAAGGGCAGCCTGAGGGCTGGGGGTCAGGTGTTCGTACTTCTGTTATGCACTTGAGCTTTGATTTACTGAGCACTTACTGTATATCACTTTATTTAATTCTTACCATCACTCTGTGACTTGGAACCGAAGTTCAGAGGATAAATAACTTTTTCAAGGTCACACAGTCAGCAAGTGAAAATTTGGAGATTTGAATCCAGGACTCCTGCCTTCAATTCAGAGCATTTAGCTGTGGGTGCAGCAAAGCGAACAGCACATGCTTGATTGTGCAGAGTGGGGACTGAGCTGCTGTGCAGAGGATGCGTCAGCTGGGTGCATGTCCCACAGGGGCCACAGTGGCAGGTGACTCTTCTGGGAGGTGAGTTCTCTAGCAGTCTATGCAAGCAGTTCACAGAGATACCCAGGACCCAAGCCCAAGGAGGCAGAGTGGTCATTTATGTAATAGGCATTTGAAAAGTTTGTTTGCCTTTTTCCTTAAAAACTCTTTTACTGTAAAAGGTTGAATGAATATTGCACCTAGGTTGAATAAAACCTGAAGGTTTCTACTTATCCCTGCCTCTCCTCCCCATCCTTCTGGGCAATTTACACTGTGAGTTGCTATGTTTTCTTACAGAGTTCTTTCTCTGCATTCACGACCATCAGGAGCTGTTCAGACATCCTACTGTGCACACCCTAAATGGCGGCACTCCATGTGCATGGTCCTACCATTTAATTCGCTCGCTTAGTAAAACATCTCAGAGATCTTTTCTTGGTAGTACATGTAGCTTGCCCTTACTTTTTAACAGTTGCATAACTTTCCATACTGTGACCATTGTGTGAATATACTATAATTTTCTTAACTACTATCTACCTCACCTACTTGTAGGTTTACTTCAAGGAAAAGATTGCAGATTTAACTACCCTTGGACCTTCCTCCAAGAAGCCATCTCTGGCAGCCTCTTTCTTTGAGACAGTCACGTCTTCCTCATGTTACCTTTGTGCCCCATACACACTGCAGTCCCTGCTCTTAGCATGATGAAGTATAATCATTAATACACCTGTGTTTTTCACTATCAGATTGAGAGTTGCATGAAAGCAGGGCTATGCTTTTTGAGTCTGCAGCCCAGTGACTGCCACATGGTAAGATCAATAGATATTTGTTAAATTAAACTGAATTTATGTGCTTAACACTTTACCAACTCCTGCACAAGGCTTAAAGGCAGGGTTTCTCCCTCACCAAATCACACATGTAATATACATGCAATATATATTATATACATGGTCAAGGGGAGCACTTCAAAGGTGACCGTAGTGATATTCAGTGATGAGACACATAGTGCTTTCTCTAGGATGAGTTGTGAATTTAATTGTCCAGCCGTGTGTGTGTGTGTGTGTGTGTGTGTGTTCTAATAGAGAAATGGAAGCACCTGTGAAATACTCAGACTCACAATGCTCAGGAAACACAGGGATGGCATCTTTCTCTTCCTACCTGTTTACTCTGAGTTCCCAGGGCTACTCTAACCAAGGATCACAAATGTGGGGGCTTAAACAACAGAATTTCATTGTCTGGTAGTTCTGAAGGCCAGAAGCACAGTCCAGCAGCAGGCTGGCTCACTCTGAGGGCTGTGAGGGAGGTTGTGTTCCAGCCACTCTCCTTAGCTTGTGATAACCACCTTCTCCCCATGTCTCTCCCGCTGTTCCTGTCTGTGGTCAAAACTCCTCTCCCTACAAGCATGGCAGTCACACTGGATTAGAACTGAGCCTAACAGCCTCATTTCAACATGAGAAGTCACTAGCGCCAATAAGGTCACACACTGAGGAACTTCAACATATGAATTTTTAAGGTCTCAATTCAACACATAATGCTACGTCTGGCAATTATTTTAAAATCGCTTGACCTTAGCCAAAAGGCCAAGAAGCAATTAAAAATTATTTTAAAGTTCTAGCAAGGAACAATAATCAGCAGGAGTCTTCTGGGATATCAAAAGAAAAAAAGAGAAGAGAAAGGCCTTTGGCTGTGCGACATGCAGTTGGACCTGTGCCCCCCCAGCCCCCAGGCTGGGCCCACAGCATCTGGAGCCCATGTTCCCACCCGGCAGGGAGGAGGCTCTCCCCTCACTGCTAAATACACTGCCCACCATTGCCTGGAACCCATAAATGCCTCGCTGGTGATAGGGCATCTGAGCTCTTCTGGCTGATAAAAGCTTTGAGTTTCACTGAGCTTGGTTCTCCAGGTACTTTTTGGCTCAGGATCAATCCAACTGAATACTTGTGTGTCATCCATACACACTTCCTGTGCAGGGGGACACTCCAGGATGGAGCCGCCCCAGGTCTAGGGGGGCCCCCTCCCTAAGGGTGGGTATGTGGTCCCATATTCCCTGGGACTCTGACCCTGCTCTGATGCAGATGTGACTGTGTCTCTGTTCATCTGTCTCTCTCATTAGCCTGTGTCTGCCTTGTTCCCTGTGTCCTCTTAACAGCTGACCCTAGGACAGCTGATCCTTCTGGACTAGTCAGCAAATCCCAAATTGCTTGTGCCAGGGAACTGCCTCCTGAGACCCAGCCATTCTCAGCAAACTGAGCCAGCTGAGGCCAGACGTGCTGCCTGCAATCTGAGGCGGGAGTGCAGGGAGCAAGTTTGGGCAATTGGAGGGCTGCCTAGGAAGGTGTGTGACTAGGAGTCTGAGGACGGGAGGAAGGCTGGTGCAAATGGACGTGAAGGTCTCCCACAGGGTCAGTGGTGCCACCCACCTACCCGCGCATTCATTTGTTCCACAGCTACTTCTTCAGCACCTGCTCTGGGACAGACATAATACCAGGTGCTGAGAATGACCCAGTGAACAGATCAAAGCACCTGTCTTCACGGGGCCAACATCTCAGCAGAGACACAAACGAAAGTCAGAGCAATGTGCCAACACCATGCCCAGCACTGCAGGATAAGTGCAGTGTGATGAGACCACAGTGGAGCGAGGGTGTGGTCCTGTAGATGGGGCCTGGAGAGGAAGGCTTTAGGGGAGAGGAAGCCGTGTGAATACCCGGGAGAGCAAGGCCGGCAGGTCGGAGCTACAGAAGGCGCCCAGCAAGGTGGCCCACAGAGTCATCAGCAGTCAGAGCTGACGCTTGTAGGGTTCGTTTTTTCGTTTATTTGTTTCTTTAGCTGACGTTTATTGAGACCTCACTATCTGTCAGGCTTCAAGGGCCTTAGCTATACTAAACTATTTATTTCTTACAGACCATTAGAGGGGTGTTATCACCCCGCTTCATCAATGAAGGAACTGCAACATGCATGGATTAAGTGGTTTGTCAGGCACTGAGACAGTCATGGCTGAGCCTGGAGTGACGTGGCAGGTGTACACCCCACCTCCGGGCTGTCCTGGGATTAGAGCCTCTGCACATGTATAGCAGTCACTGTCCCACCACCCCTCACCGGCTGCCCCCACGCCCTTCAAGGAGCTGCTCAAATTCATTTATTCCCTCAGTAAGGGCTTGTTAACCTCCACTGCATGCAAACCGTGTGCCAGGAGAAGGGGTCAGGAGGCTAGCCAGAGCAGAGGCAACCCCCGGGTGGTTACACTCACAGAGGAGGAAGTGCAGGATGCCGTGAGGACACAGAGGAGGACCACGTATTCGTGTTTCAGCAGGCCAAGAGTCACAGGAGCCTTCCTGGAGAGGGTGACCTGGAGCCAGGTCATCCCAGGCCCCAGGGGACAGCCCTTCTACCTCAGCTTTCACTGGGAGACTCTTGTATGCAGCCAGCCCCACGAGGCCATCCATCCGGTCATCAGCATGTCCACTCTAACTGTCCTGTAAGCACCAGCCACTATATTTTCCTTCCCCTAATGTGCCCCATCTTCCTCCCACCCTCACACCATCACTAGCCCCAGCTGGAGCAGCCGACAGACGGCTCCTGTTCCTGGCAGGAGCGCTGTAGAGCCATGCAAGTTTCCATGGTACATGTCAGGCGTCCTCCCTGGCCGGAACCGTCCTCCCTGGCCGGAACCGGGTATGGGGCCACAGCACCGATTGCACCCCCTGCTGAAGTCCCAGTAGGAGGGCAGCTGTGGCAGGATGAGGAGGGAGGGGCAGGCCGGGCCTACTCCTGGAGTTGTGCTGGGAAGGAGAGAAGCAGCCGGGAAGGAACCATGAGGCCTTGGAAAGACAAGAAAGGGAAAACCAGCAGCTGGGCTGGGAGAACCCTGCAGCCCGGCCGCCCGGGGCCTTCTCTGCCAACAGTGAGTCCCGGGGCTGCCGCCCACAAACTGTGCCTCTACTTTCTTCCCAGGGTGGGAAGAAAGGTGAGGAAATGGGTAGCTCTCAGCAGACGGTTAAAGTCTCTCACAGGAGTTGTTTTTGATGTCTGCTCGGAGACAGAGCCAAGTCCCAGGGGGCTAAGTTTGTGGTTCCAGGAAGAAGAGCCATGTTGACAGGGAATCCTTGGATTGGCCTCATTTCATGAAAAACAAGCTGCCAGACCAAATGGGAAGTGGAGCTCAGCAGAGAAGTATGTGCTGACTCCCCCCTAAACTTGGCCTTCAGCGGCCGTCAGCACCCAACGTGGGCTCCCTAACCCAAGTTCTCGCCTCGGGGAATTTCACTGGCAGGTCCCAGAGCTCACAGGACACACGGTTGGCTCCTGATGTGCTGCTTCTCAGCAGGTCAGCCTGTGCCCACAGCCTTGGCGCCTCTCAGACTTCCTGTTATCAGTGGGGAGGGAAGTCTGAGGCGGAGAGATGACAGGGACCAGAGCAGCTGCCCTACGGCAGTTTCCGACTCCAGTGCCTGCCAGCCGTGTCCTGCAAAGAAGCCTCAGCTGTCCAGTCCCGGTCCGTGGGAGGAAGGCCGGCCCTATGCATCAGAAAGGTGAATGACAGATTCCACTCATGAAGCAGTTAGGCTGAGACCTCAAACAGCTTAACCTCTGCATGTCTGGGCTCCTCTGGCTGATAAATGAAGACAAAACACCTACACCATTAGGCTCCTTAAAAGAGTAAATCAGGACAAACGTGAAATGAATGGTAAGCCATGGTGTTCGTACACACAGGCACACAGTAATTTATACCACTTATTATGTTTTTATTATTCGTATCAGTTGGTCATGTGTAGACTTAGTGAAGGGTCTTTTTATTTTAAAGCACCAAAATAAGAACTAAAATCTACTGTAGCCGAAGAAAAAAGCAGTGATGGGAGCAGCATAGTGACGGACAATTATAAGGCTGCAAACTGCCATATGGGCTTGGGGTGGGGGTCATAGCTTCAGGAACCCAGGGCTAAGACTCCCTGCCCTCTGTCCTGGGGCGTGTCCTAGACCGGTGCTATGCAGCGGAGTCACAGGCAATGAGGGCACTGTGCTATCTATACAAAGCAACTGAGTTCTAATTTCTAATATCATTTAAGTTTAAACAAATAAATTGATTGATTAATTAAAACTGTTATGTAAATAAAATTAAATAGAAACACTTGGCTGCTATGTTGTCAGCACAGTTCGAGACCTTTCTTCTTTCTCTCTCTCACCCCGTCCCAGCTCCCTCAGCACCCTCATCACACGAGGCCACTGAAGTTCCCAGCTCCACCTTTCCCACCTCACTGCTCGACCCAGGGCCCACTGGGGACTGCCCGTGCCTCCGTAGGGGCTTAGGAGAGCAACCTGAGTGACTGGGCTCATCTTTTCATGCCAGGCTGCTCATCAAAGACCACTGGACATCAGAAACACTTGGGGTCGGGGCTCACTCCTGATCCTCAGGTCTTGAGATTTTATGCTGTCTCTACAAGGGCTGGCTGAGGATCCCCCCAGGAGGGGCTGAGGGGTGGGCAGCTCCAGGACCTTGCTTTTTGTCTCAGGACACAGTGACCCAGTGGCCGCCATAAGTGGCTTATCTAGTCCAGGAGCTGGGCCACTGAGATGCAAAACGTGAGCTCTACTCCCCAGATTCGGGGAGGTTCAGGCCCCATCTATAGAGACAGCCAAAGACCCAGTGAAGCCAGCAGGAAGCAGACAGTGTGTGGGCAGCCCCTGCCAGGGTGCCCTGCAAAGCCACATCTGTGTCTGTGGTTCACCTGTGACGGCTCCGTGGGGACGAGCGGCTGAAGAAAACACTGGCTTTGAGTAAGAATGTTTTTGTAAAACCCAGGTTCCTGGAGGCACAGAGACATAGCCTAAGATGGCCAAGTGAGAACAATGGCAGACATGGGGACCTCTGTGTCACTGTGAGCTACTGGCTTCACCCTGTTGATTGAACTTGACAAGGCTTCTCGCTCAGACAACTGCCCGGTGCCAGCAACAGCTGGTCTGGCCATGCTTTGTTTTTAGGCTTTTTAATTGGTTGGTCCAATTCTCTGAATAAATGGAATCAATGGGTTGTTTAACTTATTAATCAAGTGTCAGACATTATTAAAGGGACAGCTGCACACTCCAGACTGTGCTTGGGTTTGTGGAAGTATCCTCATGGAAAACTGGGGGTGATGATTCCCACCTCTCCAAGTTGTCTTGTGGGCATGAAGCCAGAGCCAGAGGGGATGTGATTCCTCCCTCTGCTGCACCCTGCCTGCTGCCCTAGCCACGTCCACCCTGCCTGCTGCCCTAGCCACGTCCACCCTGTGCCCTGTGACTAGTCATGTAAATACACCCTGAGGTGCTGCTCCTGCTAACCCTGGCACCGTGGCGCAGGGAATAAACTCCATTCAAGGTGGGGGTAAGACCCTGGTCTGCAGCCCATCCCCCACTCTGCACCCCCACCCCCGCTCTGCACCCCACCCTCGCTCTGCACCCCACTCTTGCTCTGCACCCCCACCCGCGCTCTGCACACCACCCGCACTCTGCACCCCTATCCTGGCTCTGCACCACATCCCCACTCTGCACCCCAATCCCGCCCTGCACCCTCCCACTTCCCCACAGGACCTCATCTCCTGTGACTCCCCCTGCTTACCCCACCCTGCCACACTGTCCTCCCATGGCTGCTCCACACCAGGGTCAGTCTCACCCCAGGCCCTTTGCACTGGCAGGTCCCTCCTCCTGGAATGTGAATTTTCTAGATTTTTTATGTGGTTGGCTTTTCTTGCTACTCACGAAACATTCTCAGAGAGGTCTTTCTGGGTGGTCACACTGAGTGCCTCCCTGCCACTCTCCAGCACACTCAGCTTGCTGTGTTTTCATCGTGTGTTTACCATTCACTGCCCACATTTTCTGGGCGGTGTTGGGATTGTTTGTTTACACTCTGACTTACCCGGTGAGAATAACCTCTTCCAAAGGAAGAAAGATCATTAACACAGCACTCCGTCTTGCTCAGTGTATATTTTTGCAATTCCTAGAAGCTCACACCACCCCGGCAGCCCTCGGTTGCCCTTCTGGGAGTAAATGGCCAGCTTCACGAGAGGCTTGCTTGGAGTCAGCAGAACAGTCCTACAGAGACCCAGGCTTGTACATAGTGTTTAAATGTGTGATCCAGATTTTAATTTTTGAGCAAAATTAAGAGAATAGCCCCTGACTTCCCTGAGTGCAAGTTTTGGATCTTTCTGGGCCTCAGTTTCCTCTGCTATAAAAGGGTGACTACTGTGTCCCCAGCCGAATGTGCCTAATTCACTATTTGAAAATGCTTTGGAAGGCTAATTCTGGATTGCGTGCACACCCACAGGCAGGCCCATGTCCTGTTTCTTGACTATCTAGCTGCTCCCTGACTTAGCATCTGGGCGTTTACAGGCTCCTGAAGGAGCCTCCTCCTCTGAAACCCAGCTCACTGTCCCCTTGCCCATCCCCAAACCACGCCTCTTCCCTGGCGCCCTGCCTCTGTGAGCAGCACGACCATCCTTCCAGGGCAGGGGAAGTATTGGCCTGATTCTCACTGCCCATTTCTCCCTCTGTCTTCATGCTGAGTCATTTGAATTCATCTCCTCCTGTTGAATCTGCCCAGATCCACACTCTAGTCTCCATCCCGCCACCCCCAGCGTTGCCCAGGCCTCTTCTATTTCTTCCTCATGTTACTAAAGAGCTTCCTTCCTGGCCTCCTTGCTTGCGTACTTTCTAACCTCCAGTCTGATCTCCATACTATCAGTGTCATCAGTAAAAACAGAATCACATCATCGTCTTCCCCTCCGTGGTCCCCCCGTCCCCGAGGAAAGTATCCGTGGGGCAGCTTTCGAGGCAGCAGCATGGCCCGCTCCTCCAGCTCCACTTTGCAAAGCTTCCCACTCCCACCTCATCTTTGACTTCTGGTTCCCCAAACCCTGTGTGTCCCTCTCGTTTTCAGCTCTGTTGTCCAGGCTGCACTCCCTGCCAGGACCCTCCTGCCCTTCTCTTTGCCTGATGCTGACAGTTCCTGTAGGCTTGTATGGCAGTCGGGACTTCAGGGCCCCGGTCAAGGTCTCCCCTTAGCATGCTGTGAACAACAGGTAACGCCAGTGCTGCTGCTGCGGCCCGTAGATTCAGGCAATGTTAGTTGGGCTGTGAGAAGTATATTCTTCCCCACATGGCACATTGGAGGTTGGGGGTAGGTGGGAGGTCAAGGCTCCTTCTTGTCTCATTGTTTCCCCACCCTAGGGGTGTGACTCTTGCGCTGTGGCCCCACATGGGTCACCACCAAGTCTAACACTCCAGCCACACTGTATGGGGGTAGGTGGGAAGTAGAGAGAGCAGGCCCCTTCTCCCCAGGAGGTTAGGGCCATACCTGGAACCTATGACCACGACAGAGAGGAACAACAGAGGACAACTGGCAACGTGCACAGAGTGTGACCGAGCAGGTCTGTCTGCACCGGCCTGCTCAGCCCCTCTCTGGGGCCGACGCTGTTATTATCCTTCTCCCATTTTTAGGCAGATGCTGTTTTATCAACAAGCCAACTTTGTAAATTTGAGAAATAATAGGAAGGGGTCAGCCTGGGTGCACCATGTGACAGCAGCTCCTTCTCAGAGAGGTTTTCATGTGACCTGCACATGATTCTCCTGTTTGTTAAACACAGCAAGGAATTCCAGCACTTGGTGTTCATGCTTGGCTATTAGTCTGAATTTAGTTTTATGGTGATCCAAGTTATAGGTGAATGTAGCTAAAGGTCAAAATGTTCTACAAACTTGGATTCAAAAGGTGGTGATTAATTACCCCGTCCCCTGCTTCTTTCCCAGACCCCCTCAGTGCAATTTCCCCTGCTCCAGAGACAGCCAGTTTCAACACCTTGGTGCACGCACTGCCATCTCCTCAGTAACACGCTTCTATCGGGCTGTGTGATTTATGAATTTCAGCATTAGACAACTGGCTTTGCAAAGTGAAAGGTGAGGGTTTGCCGTCACTGACCCCCCCCACGCACAGCACGCATGCCCCCATCACCTATCACCCC